TGACGCACAATAATCTGAAAAAAAAAAGTCATCTCAAAGTAACTTATTCCGTTAAATTCTTATTCCTAATAGATCCCGTGATTCTTTGAGTTTCCAGTCATCATGCTACAAGAAAATTAACATATAAAATTATTTAATCCCTTGTTTATATCCAGAAAGGGTACACCGCTAAGCGCTGCGGACGTGCGCACTGCCGTCACTGAATACGTGCGCGCGCGCAACCTCACGGGACAACAGAAGAACACTGTCGTGCTCGACGCCACGCTCGCCAAGATACTCGGCAAGCCCGAACAGGTAACTTATCTCTAAAGCCTGGTCCGTGAGCACGCAGAATCCCGTCTAATGACCCCAAGCTACCCATCCTTATCGCTCGCGCGTAATTATATTGCTGTCGCGACTGTGCGACGCGCGCCCGCAGTGAGTGTGCGAGCGCGACAGCAACATAATTACGTGCGAGCGACAAGGATGGGCAGCTTGGGGTCATTGGACGGGATTCTACGTGCTCACGGACCAGGCTTTAGCATACCAAAGGTTTCACCGATGTTTTTAACCGACTTCAAAAGGGGGGAAATTTTCAATTCCGTTGGTATTTTTAGTAGTTTCCACGACTCCTATAAAAATTGTCTCTACAAGAAGTAATCGATCTACTGCCTATACACCCAGACGCTAGGCTAAATCCTCCATTTGCTTCTAAAGCCCGGTCTGTGAGCACGTAGAATTTTGTCCAATGACCCCAAGCTACCCATCCTTATCGCTCGCGCGTAATTAAATTGCTGTCGCGACTGTGCAACGGGTGCCCGCAGTGAGTGTGCGAGCGCGACAGCAACATAATTACGCGCGAGCAATAAGGATGGGTAGCTTGGGGTCATTGGACAAAATTCTACGTGCTCGCAGACTGGACTATAGTATAGTTATTTAATTTTTAGCGTTAAGAGTCGCATCTCTATATTGAACTATAGTATATTAGAGAATCGTGTTCCTACAGACGAGAGTGAAATAAATGACCTAATGACAATGCTTCCAGGCGCAGATGAAGTGGGACGAGGTGATGACAGGAGTGCAGGGCAAGTTCACGCCGGGGACCGAGATGCGCTTCTCGGACGGCTCGCAGCAGCTCAGCAAGAGCCGCCTCGAGCCCGTCACCATGCACGTGGCCACGCGTAGCGGGAACAAGAAGGTAAACGGGACCTATCCCAACACTTTCCCACCACTGCAACTCCTGAATAACCAGGATCTACAGGGTGGAAACGATAAGTGATCGCACGCGATTAATTCTAAACTATAAAAGATATCGAAAAACTGATTACTGATCCTGAAAGTGCTTCACGAGCTCTTTCAAACGATATCAGCAATAGGTTACAGAATTAACTGGATCTATCCGAAAATTCAATGTTTTCAGCCTCCATACTAAATGTATGCCACTATGCCAGCCACACAATATTAAAAGTGTTATTTTTATTTTATTTTAAATAATAAACACTTAAAATGAACTCGTAAATTGCATTCTAATTTAAAATTATTATGGAAAACATTGGTTTTAGGTTTTACTTGCTATAATATTATCAAGACATGACTGCCATGACTGTGGCAGTACTAAATGTATGGAAGGTGGAAACATTGAATTTTCGGATAGATCCAGTTTATTTTATTATTTTATTATTGGTACCGTTAAATAGAGCTCGTGAAGCACTTTTAGGATCAGTAATCAGTTTTTGAATATCTTGTGTAGTTTAGAAATAATCTAGTGAGATCACTTATCGTTTCCACCCTGTATAGCTTGGCCTCCAATGAAACCCAACCAGCGAAGGTTGAAGAACAAGAAGGTGTCACCATGCAGGTGGCCACGCGCAGCGGGAACAAGAAGGTAAACGGGACCTATCCTAACACTTTCCCACCACTGCAACTCCTCAATAGCCAGGATCTATAGCAGTCTTTCCCAAAGTGGGCGATAACGCCCCCTTGTGGGCGCTGCAGGCTTAAAGGGGGGCGGTAAGAGACCCAGAAAAAAAATTGGGACGTTGTGCCTCTAGGCTTGGGAGGCGTCATCTACTAGGAGGACTCTTAGACACCGACTGAGCTCGACGAGCTACAAAAATGGGGGGGCGCTAAAAATAATTTATTGTCAAAGTGGGCAGTAGACTACATAAGTTTGGGAACCGCTGATGTATAGCTTGGCCTCCAATGAAACCCAACCAGTGAAGGTTGAAGAACAAGAAGGTGAAGGGCTTGTTACTGAGCAGGCGTATGCGTCGGTTGGCCGATTTAATGGTGATCAAGTCAAGCTACAAATCTGAGATATGACCAGCCAATGGTCGAGGATCTTGATCACACATCCCTCAATAACTCGCCATATCACTAAAAGAGAAGAATCTATGTAATTAAAAACCATTTTCCAATCATCATCCAAGTTCGCCCATGTCTCATGTTGAGTGTTGATACAGAGTTTATCTGATTGACTATCACATGCCCCAGCTAAAGCCTGGTCCGTGAGCACGTAGAATTTTGTCGAATAACCCCAAGCTACCCATCCTTATCGCTCGCGCGTAGTTATGATGCTGTCGCACTCGCACACTCACTGCGGGCGCCCGTCGCACAGTCGCGACAGCAATAAAATTACGCGCGAGCGATAAGGGGGCGTCCATAAATTACGTGAGACAATTTTGGCCATTTTTCAACCCCCCCGCCCCCCTTGGTGAGATTTGGTGAGATTTTGCCTGACCCCCTCCCCCACCCCCCTAATCTCACGTGATATTTAATAAAATGCCTATTTTGCAACGTCTATGCTTCGAGTCTATTAGATTTATATGAAAAAATCAGTAACCCAGTGTCGTGCCACGCGCAGTGCAGGGTTCCGTAGCTTGCTAACCGTCGTTTAGTAAGACAAGCAATGAGGGCTATCGTTTTAGCGCTCACTAGTTAGCGCCACTGTAGAGTAAGGTCCTGTCACTTGCTAGTAGCAAAGACAGTGGGACCAACTGGTGAGCACAAAAGTGGTAGGAGGCCTATCGCATTTGCTCTCATCAAGATGGCGCCACTGTAGAGTAAGGTCCTGTCAATCGCCAGGGGTGCCAACTGTTAAGTATAAAAACGATAGCCCTCATTGCTTCAATCTAGGACCAGTTTTTTGATTCATAGTTAAAATAACTAATTGTTAAATTTTGCTACTAATGGTTAAATATTAATAAAAAGTAAACTAGTACTTAAAAAATGTAAATGTAAACTAATCGTTAAAAAACGCCGACAAAACGGTAAAATAAAATTTTGAAAAAAATAATAATTCTAGTGTAGCTCCCCTGCATGTAAAGTGGGGATGAATTTTTTTCAAGGAAAACTATAACGGTTAAGATACATTACTTAGTTTAAGAGAGTAATAGTTATTTGACTCATGTATTATACAATTTCTTAACCAGTAAAAATTTCTTAGAAGAAAATAATATGAAAAGTGACTTTAGATAAAGTAATTGCTTGCTTCTGATTAATATATTGTGGTAACGACAGACAACTACAGAACCCTACACTGCGCGTGGCACATTTATTCTGCATCTTTAGTGTTCAAAAATGCAGATGGAGGCATTTTTAGTTTAATTTGATTAGACGGTTTAGAATAAATTGTCATTATCATCATAAAAAAATCATTTTTTTTACTTCAATAACCCAGTTTTCTGGCAATTTTACTCTATTTCTTGTGGGAAAAATTACGTGATATTTTCCGAGACCCCCCCTCTCCCCCACGTGAGATTTAGTGAGGTTTTCGTTGACCCCCTCCCCCCCTAAAAGTCTCACGTAATTTATGGACGCCCCCTAAGGATGGGTAGCTTGGGGTCATTGGACAAAATTCTACGTGCTCATGGACCAGGCTTTACCAAATCGTATCAAAACGTCACAACAACCACTTGCAGAATGACAAAGTCTGAGCAGCAGTACAGTAGATGACTTCAATTCCCAAACCTGTTCTATCGTGATTATGATAACGAATTCACCGCACCATGTTTCCTCCACCAGGTGACGCTGGTGTCGAACCTGGAGGCGTTCGGGTTCAGCTTGCCGGCGCTGGCGCACGTGTGCCAGCAGGGCGTGGCGGCGTCCTGCGGCGTCACGCGCTCGCCCGGCGCCAAGCACGACCAGCTCATGCTGCAGGGCGACCAGGTGACACTGATCAAATATTGACTAAAGCCCGGTCCGTGAGCACGTAGAATTTTGTCCAATGACCCCTAGCTACCCATCCTTATCGCTCGCGCGTAATTATATTGCCGTCGCGACTGTGCGACTGGCATCCGCAGTGAGTGTGCGAGCGCGACACTGTCGCGGCGACAGCAACATAATTACGCGCGATAAGCGATAAGGATGGGTAGCTTGGGGTCATTGGACAAAATTCTACGTGCTCACAGACCAGACTATAGTCCCGTAAACATCCTCCACAGACCTACTTCTAGTAAAGGACGTTATAAAGTCACAAGCATGGGCGTATCCAGGGGTATCCGATTTTGATGAAATTTGCCATAATAGATAGGTAGTATAAGTCCCGGGAAAGGACATAGGGTAGTTGTTATCCAGATTTTTGAAACAGGGACGCGCGCGATAAAGTTTTTCTGTGACAAAATTCCACGCGGGCGCAAAGCTAGTAACTATTAATCTTCTTATATCAAGGAGATAATATTTTTTTAATTATGGTATTATTTACTAATAACTTCTTTTTCTCATTTCCAGACTTATTTTGTCGCCAAATTGCTGATAGAAAAATATGGACTGCCCAAGAAATTCGTGGAAGGAGCAGACAAGGCACTCAAGAAAAAAAAGTGATAAAAGTTAATGAAATAATAAAATGTTGAGCTAAGCCAGTGAAAGTGATTAAAATAAACACAAACTTGCAAAGCATCTTTATTTATTATTTAAGAACTATTACCTATTCGTAAGATCTCTGCATGTTAACTTGCCTAGATTTGTGTAAAACACATTAACTCTAGTATGGCAACCATTGTTCTCTAATTTCTTACAATCACATACTAACTACCATATCCAAAGTATTTGTTAATACAATTAATTAATATTGTTATAATGATGCATGGAAGACTTTAAGACTAAAATTCATTTCATTCTTATTTTCTAATTACTAAATCTAAGTTTATATTTTTGTATCTTTACAATACAATAAAAGCATGATTTATAAAGTGCATTTTATGATTTCTTGTTGCATTCAATTTATACATACAATATTTAAAATTTCACTATGCTAGAGTTAGGGTGGGTTGATGTCCGTATTTCATTTGTTTATGTACAATACAAAAATAACACAAAATCAATATAAAAATAGAAATCTGGTTCCAATTCTACTGTTCATTTCGAACAACAAATAAATGGAAGATACTACAGCTATGTAAATATAAATTTAGATTATATCTAATATAAGAAAAGCCACAACCAATGTACGTAGTAAGTAATTATAATCTAATTCGCTCACCACTACTATTACATATTAGTTTACCACACAAGTTTCACACATTTCTACCATTCTGCATTTTTACACTAAACAATTTTGAAAGAGATCACAAAAATATAGGCATAAAATATTTCAATACAAAACTATGCACTTGTTTCTGAAATACAATCGATTTCACGTATGAAACTCGCTTCCTGGACAAGGTGTGGGTTCATAAACTAATCAAAAACAATGTGTACAACAATATCTCACACTTTAGCTGAAGATTTGAACTTGAAGGGCGTTTTGAACGGTAGCAGGGACTTCCTTTTGGCCTTCTTCAGCTCCGGCGGCGCGGGCGGCGTCTGCACCTCGCCCGGCCGCGCGCTGGCCCGCGTGCGCTCCGCCACGCTGCCGCCGCTCGCCCGGCTCACGCTGGACTCCACGCTCCACTGGCTCCTCACCGAAGACAATGAGAATCTTGATTCATTGGAAATCTTGGATATGAGGCTAGATTTTGAAGGAGTCTTCCTGATGTTCGCATCGCTCGTGTTTGTTATGTCTGAAAATATGTTCTTCGAGGTCCTGGCCTGTTTGGAAGGAGAGGAGTGACTCCAGTTTACGGCCGATCTCTTCTCGGAGGCCATCTTCTCCATGTCCAAGTACTTGAACTTGCTGATGTCTTTAGTGGGTTTCGTCTCGTTTCTTGGCAATTGATACCCATCCCTGTCCACGTTTTCCAGCTCATAAAAGGTGAGAGTGACGCTCTCGTCGCTCTCGATGAATGGATTAGATGAAGTGAAGTGCACTTTCTTGGTTCCGACCTCAGGGAAGATGTTGCGCCGGGGCATATTGTCTTTAGTGAACCTGGTGGACGTGACGATGATGCTGCCGTCGCCGGCGTCGGCCGACAGGGAGCTGTCGAGGTCCTCGTAGGCGTAGCTCTTGCGGCGCGGGCGCGCGCGCACGGAGCCCGAGCGCCGCTGCCGCCGCCGCGACACCCACTCGGGCCGCTCGCCGGCCTGCGTGATGACGGGAGGCAGAGTTATACCGTCACTCTCGCCCTCGCACGGCTTATCTTGGGTGTCATTCAGGTTCAGGGGCACTATTTTTGCAGCAGGACTGTTCACTATCTCTTTTGCGATGAGATCTCTCTCCCTTTTGTTGAGTGACTCCTCCCTTTGTCTCAGTGCTATGAGACGAGTCATCCATTGCTGGCTCAGAGTCTCCTCTGACACTTTCTGAGGGCACGCCGACCTTTCCATGGCCTCACTGTATGGTCTTCTGCATCTAGGTACGAAGCCTGGCAGCTCAAGAGCCAATGCAGCCAGTGTTGGAGACAAAGATCCTCGGGCAGATTTAGCTTCCTCGATTTGTAAGTTGTGTGACACTTTTGGGCTGAGATTGATGTAAATGGGACTGTCCACCGGTTTGATTATTCTTCTAGGAGCAGGCTCAACCACTTTACACAGTTCCACTGCTTTCTGGGAGTCACATTTGTTTGCTTCTGATGCACAATGTGAATAATCCGCTGCCACAAGGATGTTCGCCAGGTGCTTAGGTCTACGATGCGTTTCGAGATTGGCCAGCACAGTGGGATGATAAAGAACGACATCGGGACGGAGATTAACGTTTTTGTCATCTGTGAGAAAACCGACAACATCGCTAAGATCGTCGCTGTAGTGGTACTCTTTAATTTTGGTGTCGGTTGCGCTCGCTCTATAGCAAAGTATGTGCATAATGTCTCCGATTTGCCGCATGAAGTCCGGTCTGGTGATGGTCGCCAAGTCGTAGCAGTTCACGCGCAGCTGACCTCCTTCGTCGACGAATATCGCGTCTGGTGTTACACATTTCTGAAGCACAACAAAGTGTAGGTCCTCGATGAGCTTGCACACTCGCGCCAGCTCTAGGAGCAGGTGCCAGAGGAAGCCCTCGGCGAAGAACTTGTCCGTGGCCTTGCAGACGTCCAACAGCTCCTGCACACTTCGCCACGAGTTGTACTCGAGAACAAAGTACAATGTCTTGGACGGTCCGTGAAGTATAGTATCATAGTATCGCAGCAGGTTCTCGGAAGTCACTTTGCTTATTGTTTTCACTTCGTTGACGACGTTTTGTATTTGAGCGTCCGAGTACGCGGAGCAATTGTACGCCTTCCACGCAAATATGTTGTTGGTGACCTTGTGTCTCACTTTATAGAACGTACCTCCGCAGAAAACGTCTAAAACTTGATAATCCTTCAATTTTTCCGTCATCTTTGTTAAATTTTAATATAAAAACAAGGAATATTACATTTTGTAACCGAAACAAAGCCACCGAAATTTTGAAACAGATCGACCGTTACGGCTGTAGTGACGCTTGTAAAATTTGTCGATTAAAATTACAATAATTAAGAATGGTATCGATATCGATATCCTCGTGGCTCATAGCCGTGAATATTGTTCCAATTAAATATAAATGATTTAATAACTTTATCAATATAATAGATACTTACTTGATAACCTGCTTGATACTCGATGCGCGCCCAAATTCAGTCTTTCAATGTTTTTATAAATTTATCACTTCACTACACTTCACAACGCAAAATAACACCACATTTGTTAAGTAAAATCATTTAAACAATAAATTAAAACCATTAAAACAGATCAACCATGCTTCCCGTTCAACTACCTACCCTCCACCACCCTCCACGGCACGGAAGAATCCCCCCATGCCATGACCTCTTTAGAAAAATAGGGTAGTCGTTAAACATTATACTGCCAAACATGAAGCTTTACTTTTCCGCCAAAAACTTCCTGCATTGTCTAATCTCGTTATTAAATTAAAGATAATGTTTTTTTGAAAAACAATCCCTGTAAAAAAATCTAATTTTTTTTTAAATAACATAAATGGAATAATAATAATAATAACACTTTATTGTACACCACCCATAACACAAAAAAGTAAGAGATACACAGGAACTTTATATTTAGGTTTTTATGTAAAAATAAGATTACTTATTTATTTTATATGTGTATATTTTTGCTTGTCTATCTTTTGTCTAATAAATCATTTTATTATTCTATTCTCATGCACGTTTACATGAACTCATCCGGGTTAAAAAAAAATTAAATTTAAAATTCCTGGAAACCTGAGAAATTTTTTACTTGTCTTGTAATGTTTATTGCATAAATATTAATTTCAACTTTAAGTTTTAAATATTTTCTTTAAAAGATTATAATAGTAATTTTTGCATAAATTAATCGTTCCTACAATAACGAACAATGTAATGCTCTCGAGCGTGCACTTCACTATTACCAGATACGTTCGGAAATTTATATTAATTGTAAACTTCAGAATTATTTTCACATTTAAAGCAGTGAAATAAGTAATATTTACAAAATGTTGAAGCAAAAAATTTGTTGGAATTTGAATTTTATTGGAATTAATATTATTTTCATGATTTATTTCATAAATTAAATGGTCATGGGTTTGAATCGGAACAAAACATACTATTTGTCAAACTTTTGGCGGCAAATTTAAATTTTCTAGATTCATTACAAGGTTTGTAATCCAATACACATAGATTATTCATAAAGGTTTTCTTTAATTACCTTGGAATCATTTCAGCATGTAAATACTTTACATATTACTTACTGCCGCCATGAAGACTCGGCATGTGTCGATATACCTACACGTAACAAGGTTAAGTAAATAAAACAAAGATAAATAAAATTGAAAATATTTTATTGGTGAGTATAAGCTTGTATGCGGCACAGCTGACTAGCGCTTTCAAATATATCCATATATCACATGATTTCATCCTTCGGATCAAAAGTAATTTAAACAGTAATTAATAAGCCAAAAAATCAGAGTACATCATTAATTTTAAAATACCTATAGCTTTACATAAGTAAAAAATTATGCTTTGCCGTGAGCAAAAGATAATGGTATCCAATATTTTTTGGCGTTAACTGAGAGAACAAGATACAAGACACTGCTTGTGACAGCGGTTTGCGGTGATTTATTCAACTTAAGGGCTTATTATTCTATTTACTCATGATGATGATAATAAAATTAACTGTTTCAAATTCGTAGTCCGGATGACTGGTATCGAAAAAGTATTGTGCGAATTTAGCAACTTACCTACACTATGTCTAATACTTTTTAAATACCTACTATACGAATATTTACAATATTTGTTTACAAGAACCATTGACTAGAAACCGTGTCTAGAAATAATATAACGCATTCACTAATGAAATTTACAAATAAAGGAACATGATCACTTTAATATCAATACAATACGTGGGACAAGCTACATGGAATGACCGGTGCCATCTTTGGTAACACATTTGAACATTCAGTGCGCGAGCGACGCGTCGATGTAGCAGCAGCTCATAAATATTTCAAATACATCGCGTACAAATCAATTTCAATACATAATTATAACAAACTACCTAATATCACTCGCTTCAACACGAACTGGACTATCGAAGCGCAAAATAAAATTTAAAAAATATAACAACGGTAAAATAAAATCGTATATAAAACAAACGACAACCTAAATTGACTAAACAAACCAAAATTCAGATACAAAAAAATAGTTTGGCATGTTCAGGGATTTCATTTCTGCCTCGCATTTACAAAATCTATGCGGGATTTAGAAATTCATTTTTTCCAAATAGATACCAATACAATAATTCATCTGGATATTTTGCCTACAATTTATTTGAATCTTACAAAAAATGACATTTCGGCGATTTCTAGTTAATTAAATTAACGGTTGACTAAACGAGAGGCAATTCTGGGACATACAAACCTATCACAAGTATAAAATAACAGTTAAATTAAATTGATAACTGTAAAAGTGTGTAATATGCATAGTATGGTATCTATCGGGGAAAACTTGCGCTTTTACTTGAGCGAGTGCATATACTCGTTCACACACAAAGCGCAACTGCCCTGTAAATACTGGAAATTAATAAACTGAGATCATAATAATTACTCTTTCACATTTACCGTATTCACTGAAATTTGTGACATTTTATTCTATCTATGTCACAGATTAAACAAGTACACACGCTTAATTTTCGCAAAAAGCTAAATTTAATATCAGAATACAATTTGTTAGTACACATCTGATCGAACACAGATTCATCAGCTCGTACAATTATAAATAGCGATCAAATATACAGCATCAGCCGTCGTATATAAATTTTTAATTAATCGTATCCCTTTTCCACATAGGACAAGCATTAAAATTATGCGTGTATTTATTTAGTCTGTGGCATATTTACCCTCCCCGTACTCGAATATTTATTTACAAATAATGCTCGCGCGGCCCGCGCCGCATAGCGCGCACACAACGGACGCTGTTAACGCATACATTACGAGAAGCGACAGCTCAATGGACGCCATTGATGGTTCGATCTATACAATACATTTTTAAATTATATTACATTTTACTTTTATGCCAGACATTATGTACGCTATTGTCACTGTATTAATGCGAGCTTCAAGTATATTTTTTGGATTATTATTTGTCTATTATACCTTATTTTAATCGTACTTTGGCCTATCAGGACGAGGGGACCGTCCACCTTAGTTTCTATTTAGATAACTACACGTTTACAAATGGATCGAATTATCACTAAAAATTCGGTCGATCGCTTCGTACGTATGCGTTAGGTCAGAGCGGGAGCGAGACTTGCGAGTCGAACGACCTGAAAACAACTGAAGGAACTCGTCAGTTCAACGACGTCTGCCAGTCAACGAGACGATGATTTCTGACGAACGAGGCACTAATTATGTGCATACGTGTGCCTTACTGTGATGCACAGAGGTAACGAGGGGCCTCCTCGAAGCGAAAAACAAGGGGTCGAGCTCGAGAGCTAACAGCAGTCTTTCAGCGGTTAAGATCGCCTCGTATTCGTGTGTACTTTCGAAGCAAGAGTAACAGCCGAGGCGTCGTATCGCTCGTCTCACGTCGTCCGCGGGCACCCTGTCTCGGTGAAATCGTTTTTATTTCAGCGGCAGGTGCGGGGCAGGGGGCCGGGGGGCCGGGGGGCCGGGGAGCCGGCGGGCCTACCGCACGCCGGCGGTGCCGAGGCGGTGGTGGGCGGTGGGGGGCCGCGCGCGGGCGGTGTGCTTGCGCGGCGCCTCGATGTCCGGCTCCTTCTTCACCGGCGTCTCCGCCGCCTGCTGCAACAAAAACGTCGGCAAATACAACTAACTGTCGCGTCGGGAGGAGTGAATCACTGTCCGTCTACTTTTTTTTGTCACTTATCAGCTTCAGAAAAGGCTAGCTTCCTAAAAAAAACTTTTTAGTCCGTCAAATTTAATATAAAAAAATATTGGACACGTATATTTTTAATTGTCAATCAAACAAATACAAGGTTATAGCGCGTTGAAGTTCCGACGGACTAATTAAAACTCTTGCTTTTTTACCCAGGAAACATCCCTATAGTCTATCGAGTTTAATGTAACAATACTACAGCCGTTCGGAGCGGGGTCGATGATTGGTCCTTACTCGTGCCTTGAGCGCCTTGGGGTTGCAGGACTTGGCGCGCAGGTCTGGCTCGGGCGCGGGCGGCGCGGGCCGGTAGTGGCGCGTGGTGGGCGGCAGCGGCAGCGGCGCCAGGTCCAACAAGTTGTGCGGCCGCCGCCGCGCCGCCGCGCCCGGGCCCAGCGCCGCCGAGCACAGCGGCCGCCGCCCGCCTGATGCTGTGGGACGCACCGTCAGCACCTCCGCGCCGCTGGAAACGGGAGAAGACATGTTAATCCCACCAAAAACATTCTGTAAAAAACTAGCCAAGTCTCGATGAAGCTGCTTGTTTATCTCTAAAAAGTAATGAAATCTAGACAAAGTCGTGCCAAGTCTATGGTTCCTTACTGCGATTTCTTTATTATTATAGTTAATGTTGTGTGACTTGGCCGTTGAAGGGTGACAAAACCAAGTGCTCCATAACACCATTGCACCAATTTGTCGCCAGAACCGCTACCCATTGACGATGGAAAATTGCCACTTGGAAAACGTTGATTCAACAATAACCAGTCAATTGTAGGTTTAATAAAGCTGCGTATTTCAATAATACTTATAATATGTATGATTATCATAATAAAGATTGTTCAACGGCCAAGTCACACAACATTAACTATAATAATAAAGAAATCGCAGTAAGGAACCATAGACTTGGCACGACTTTGTCTAGATTTCATTACTTTTTAGAGATAAACAAGCAGCTTCATCGAGACTTGGCTAGTTTTTTACAGAATGTTTTTGGTGGGATTTCACTTCTTTTTGTAGAAAGTGGCAAAATTATTTAACGTCGTCATTTTATCGACATTTTTTTACGATATTAAACACAAATAAACTCAACGAGCGACCTTTAAAATTGACAACGAATCAGAATTGTTTTAATAACATAACCTTAGCGAACCTTACGAATAATAAACGAAATCAACGAAATGCAAATTACACAACATTCAACTTAATCGACGGGGGGCTCTAGAAAGGAAAAAAATCTGGACACCGCTTGCTAGTGCTAGCGCCATCTAGCGGTGAGCGATACAGGCGAACACCACGGTGCCGGAGTAGTATTGATTATGAATGTGGTGTTACTCCAGATCTTCGATTTTCCTAGTTTTTATAGTTTTCCCTTTATGTGGCCATTAAACCCTAACTCTGTACCAAATTTCAGCTCTCTGAGTTTATGGGAAGTACTAGTTCTATTTTGATGATCATCAGTGAGTGAGTGAGTGAGTGAGTGTCGTAAATGCGAAACTTTGCTTTCGCTTAACTTCGGAACTAAATGACCTACAGACTTGAAATTTTGGATTTTAAGTATGTGATTATAGCTTACTAGATGACGAAAATTTCTGCGTTCTGGTCTTATCCAGAGGTTCTCAAATAGGGGCCTGAAAATGCGGCGAAATGGTTCCAGTAAAGGATGGTACGGCAGTGTTCGCTTCGCGCTCGAGCCCCCAGATATATTGCCAAAATTGGCCTTAAGTGCCCACGGACAATATTGCACTGATAAAACAATAAAGAGACGAGAGTGAGATATGAAAGCCACGCCCATTTGTTAATAATAATGATGACTAAAGCCTGGTCCGTGAGCACGTAGAATTTTGTCCAATGACCCCAAGTTACCCTTCCTTATTGCTCGCACGGCTCGGGCCAGGTACTGTGCGCCGGGTGCTGTGCGCCGGGTACCTGTGCTCGGGCAGCTCCCAGGCGTCGGCGTCGTCGCTGTAGCGCAGGCGCAGCACGGTGGCGCGGCCGGCCTCGGGCACGAAGGAGTCGGCCACGAGCAGGCGGCGGCGCGGGGAGGGTGCTGTGCGCGCGCCGGGTGCTGTGCGCCGGGTACCTGTGCTCGGGCAGCTCCCAGGCGTCGGCGTCGTCGCTGTAGCGCAGGCGCAGCACGGTGGCGCGGCCGGCCTCGGGCACGAAGGAGTCGGCCACGAGCAGGCGGCGGCGCAGCTCGGCGATGAGCGCGGCCTGCAGCGCCTCGTGCTCGCGCCGCTCGGCGTCGTGCGCCTCGCGCTGCTCCGCCGTCTCCTCGCGGACGCACGTGTACTTCGCCAGGCATTTTTTTAACCTGGAAACGAGCAGCAACCGATATGCATATTATCCAGAAAGTAATTCCTGAATCCTATAGAACGTTATTGCGGCACAAGAAGTCAAATACAAGTACGATTTCATTTAATAGCAGCGCGGTTAGGTAACGTCAGCTGCGCGCTGTCACATTGCCTGGTCGTAGCAGATAAGTACAGTCATTTACACTGCAATTCACTGCAGTCACATTAAACCTTTACCTGGTAGTGGCAGAATTGTTGCCACCATATTTTGAACCTTATTGAGAAAACAGAAGGTACAAAACTAATGAAAAATATTTTTCTCTATACCAGTTAAATCACGCTACAGTCGCGTTGAAATTACGCTGCAGTTGCGTAAAAGTGCAGATTATCAAACCATTTATACTTAAAGTATAATACTCACCTCTGCGTTTTATGGTCGACCTCCTGCTGTAAGGTGGCGAATGTGTTGGTGACTATCGTCGTCGTTTCTTCCTCGAGGTCTATCTTCTGCTGCATCTCCACCTCCCGCTTCTTCCGCTCCGCGATCTCCATGTTCCGCTGCTCGAGGATGATCTGGCTCTCGTTGAGGTTGTTGATGAGGTCCTTGCCCCCGCCCCCTGTGACTAGCCGGTCTTCCAACGACCGGATTTGTTGTTCCAACTCCTCTGTCTTGTTTTTCTCTTGCTCTATCGTCGATTCCGCTAACAAGTGTTCATTTTCGATGCTAACCGTTTCTTCTTCGGCTGAAAATAAAAGATATTGAAATTATGTGTATGTACAGTCGCGCAATGAAAAGGTTCGTCACCTTAGTGTCGGTTTTCGCTTGCACTAGGTACTGTAAGAGTCAAACCTGCCAACATAACCGTGCAAGAAACAGTGCTGCTAACATTTAAATAAATATGACGTTTGCTAACGAATAAGGTTTTGCTTGTTTATTTTTCTATCCAATCAATGCAATGTTACAAAATGTAGTTGTTTTTATTTAATAGATAATGGCAGGTTGAACCAACAAGTAGGTTTTAGTTTATCAATCTTAATAATCTTCTTGACAAGTTATATCGTCAAACAACTTTGATCTGAATAATTTTGAACTTTACTGGCGAACAGTTAAAGATTATTTTCTCTAACTCGAGATTATTCTGTAACATGGTTTCAAAAGGTAATATGTGCTCGCGATTCGTTGAAGGAATCAATTTGAAAACTGACGAACCTTTTCATTCCGTGACTGTACCTCGAGTGGGTAGATCGCATGAAACTAGAAATCTATAAGGCAACATAGAAGCTTATATTCAGCTAATGCAACTGCTACTCACATTGTTCGCTGAGCGGCGCCTGCGGCTTGGGGCGCGGCGCGCGGCGGCGCCTGAGCTCGGCGGCCTTGCGCTGCTCGATGAGCGTGCGCAGGCGCTCGATCTCCGCCTGGTACTCGCGCAGCTTCGCGTCCTTCGGGTCTTCGTTTCGAACTGGTTTGTTCTTTATCGCTGTAGATATAATAACCATTTTAGTCTGTATACTTCTTGCTGAAGCTGAAGTGGCAATGGGCAGGGCAAATAGTACGCAGAACTGACGGCCTACAGGGCAGCAAAGTTCTGGAGTGGAGGCCACGTATCGGAAAGCGCAGCGTAGGACGTCCACCCACAAGGTGGACCGACGACCTCATAAAGGTAGCAGAAAAGCGCTGGATGCAGGCCGCCACCAACCGGTATTTGTGGAAATCATTGGGGGAAGCCTATGTTCAGCAGTCCTATGGCTGAAATGATGATGATGATGAATATGATGATGACTTCTTGCTGAAAATAGTTTTTGGGATCACTATATTCCGTACCACAGTTATGAACACTTGTTCACATTTTTAACGCACTTACCTTTCGCCCTGTGCGCGTACCGCAGCGTGGTGATGGTCTCGTCGTAGTTGTAGGAGGCGGGCCCGATGTTGGCGATCATGATCGTCTTGCTGTTGCCGCCCAGTGAGTCTTGGAGGATGCGCGTTAACTTTGAGTCCCTGGAAAGTTACGATGAGAAAATAGTTTTGTTTTTCAATGAGGGTTCCTTAATTACGGTCACCAGTTGGGCCGCTGTGGAAAGTAAGGTCCTGTCACTTGTTAGTGGCTAAGAATGACTGGTGGGCGCTGAAGCGGTAGGAGGTCTATCGCATTTACAATCACAAGGTTGGCATCACTGTCGTGTAAGGTCCTATCGCTTGCCAGAGTGGCGCGAACTCGCTCGCGAACGTGCTGTCGCATAGAGTGGTAAAGAAAAGGAATTAAGGAAATCCTCATCAGATGATGTCGATGATCTAAATGGTAACATAAATAAATAAATCTTTGGACAATTTCACACAGCGCCAGCTAGCCCCAAAGTAAGCAACTTAATGCTTGTGTTATGGGTGCTAGCTTAATGGATATACTACTTATATACTTTTTTTTTAAATACATAAATATTATACATAGTCACACCCAGACCCGTCACAGAAATTAAAATTCATCATTTCAATTTCTGCCCGGCCGGGAATCGAACCCGGGACCTCTCGGCATAGTAGTCCGTTCTGAACCACTACACCAAACGGCCTACTACCCGTAAGAATGCTGGGATCGGTGTGGTCACCTGTAAGGCACGTGCGGGCTGTTCTCGGCGAGCGCGGAGATGACGTTCCCGAGCGAGGACAGCGCCTGGTTGATGCGCGAGGCCTCCCGCAGGCGCTCGGCCGACGCGCCCGTCTTGCGCTGCCGCTCGCTGCCCGCCAGGTCCACCAGGTTCAGCTTGCCCACGCTGGACAAACAAAACACAACGATATTAGGCTGTTAATATAAAAACTTGGCATAAGAAGAAACAGTAGACACATTTTATTTCGGTCATAGTCGTAGGAGACGTTCTCGAAAGAAATGAAAGTACACCATATGACTGCGGCCACACTATTCAGCAGCGGACTACAGGAATAATCTGCTAAAATCACTACATCACCTACTGCTAGATCGATCCTCCAGCAAAACTCTTCCCTCATCACTATTTACTTTGTAAGTAACAATGTCTAAAATGTTTATTCGATTAATTAAGGTAACAAAAAAAATAATAAAAAATAGCAATTTGCTGTCGAAAAAGACCAAAAAACTATCAGATAAAAGAGTGTAGGTAATTCTGTCAGAAACAGTGTCCTTGACTTTATAGAACTCATAACGATCTAAATTAAGTGAATGTTTATACACCAAAAAACAATAGCAAAAATTGATTTAAATAATCTACTTAGGTTAGTAGAGCAATTGGTGCGGTAATCTACAATTTAAAATTGTTACTTGTTCAGACTTTATTCAAATTAGATTTTTTACAATGCTAGCTGGGTTAAACTCATGAACATTAAATATTATTTGCGCTTTATGCAGGGCCGGATTAACCATCTCGGGGCCCCTAGGCACAGCTCGTGTCGGGCCCCCCCACAAAACCGCAATTTCGATTTTTTTACTGTCTACATTACGAAATAGAATGAAGGTACCATCATCATCACCAACAGACTTCAGTCATCACATTGCAATGGTATATTATACATATTATGTATACGCCTTCCTTCAAGTGAAAAGACTTTCGCCACTATCTAGTACAGCACGAAGTATCGGAGTCATTTAAAAATGAAACAAAGAATAGGAAAATCTTGCATATTTTTATAAAACTAACATAAACATTAAAAAATAAAAATTTACTTACTTATAGTCATGTAAACCAAAGCAGTAATGCCAACTAGGCCAGTAGAATAAGACATGAAAATCAATCAAATCGGAAATAATTCGTACAAAAGGTTTTCTTGTTTTAACGAGCTTTTGCCCGCAGCTTCACCCGCGTGAAATTTCGTTTGTCACAGATCGTCATAAATTATAGCCTATATGTTATTCTGGGTTATAAACAATAATACTGTAAATTTTCATAAAAATCCGTTCAGTAGTTTTTGTTTGGAAGAGTAACAAATATCCAGATGTCCAAACTTTCGCATTTATAATATTAGTAGAATGGTTTCATTTGTTGCTCTTTAAGACTATCCTAGGTTTTCGACTTCGACGGAGTTTTTATCGGTTTTACGGTTATACCGCGCAAAGGACTTGCAGTATCGAAAACTGATCTTCATGATGATTGAAGGGCATTTAATCCTGCATTGAATAAGACCAAATTCATATATTTTGTGCCTATCTTCGACAAAGTAGAAAATATACGCATAATTAATAATCCCTCTCTACGTCCAATGGCTCGTCACCCGCAAGCTCCAAAGCCTTGAAAAGGGCCACCTTAACCAGCATATTCCTGTCAAGCCTCGTGAGTTAGATTCGTCTATCCTTATTCATCCCAGTGCAGCCATTCCTTTACTACAGTTGCTGCACCTCTTCCTTGACTTGACTGCGTTGCCAAGTCTTACAGCTGGTCCAAGGTTCGACTCCAAAAATCAACAACAGGTTCAATGTTCATATTAAAACGCTGAATTTTGTTTGTTAGTTTGTTTGAACGCGCTAATCTCAGAAACTAGTGCTTTGATTTAAATAATTATTTTTATGTGATCTAGCTCGTAAATTGAGGAAGGCTATAGGATATTATACCATCACGCTACGACTAATAGCTACATAAATAAAATAAATAGGACGAAGCAGTAAAGAAAAATGTTGCAAGCACGGGAAATAGTATTTAAAATATTTTCACGCGTATGAAGTTGATTTTGTGGTGTCGAACCTTGGACCAGGCGTACGGCTAGGCAACGCAGTCATGCAGTAGGGTGCAAGGTAGAGGGGCAGCTATAGTAGATAACACAGAGTCGTTCAGGAGAGTGCAGAGAAGAGGTACGGCAACCGTAGTTAAGGATGAAGGAGGAACAAGGATAGGTAAATCCAACTTGTGAGGCTTGACAGGGATACGCTGGTTAAGGCGGCCCTTTTCAAGGTTTGGGACCCTGCGGGTATATTTTCTACTTTGTCGAAGATAAGCACGAGAACAGTTTGTCCAAAACATATGAATTTGGTCTTATTAAATGCAGGATTGAATGTCCTTCAACCGTCATGAAGATCAGTTTTCGATACAGTAAGTCCTTTATGCGGTATAACAGTAAAACCGCAAAAATGGCCCTTTTCAGGGGCCCCACCACTTAAGCACAATTCCGCCGAAGTCGAAAACCTAGGATAGTATTAATGGGCAACAAATCATCATCATCATCATCATTTCAGTCATAGGACGTCCACTGCTGAACATAGGCCTCCCCCAATGCTTTCCATGTTGATCGAAAGTTGCACAGCGTGCAATATGGAGAGGGCTATGCTAGGTGTTTCTTAGCGAGATCGAATCAGAAATGAGGAGATCCGTAAACGAACCAAAGTCACTGACATAGCCCGACGGATTAGCAAGCTGAAGTGGCAATGGGCAGGGCACATAGTACGCAGAACTGACGGCCGATGGGGCAGAAAGGTTCTGGAATGGAGGCCGCGTACCGGAAAACGCAGCGTGGGAAGTCCACCTACAAGGTGGACCGACGACATCGTTAAGGTAGCAGGGAAGCGCTGAACGCAGGCCGGGCAACAAATGAAGCCATTAAAACAATAAAATCTTTTGTAGGAATTATTTCCGATTTAAAATCTAATTCTATGGCCTCTAAACGTTACGAAAATGAATTAACTTCCACAATATCGAAATATGACGATTGAATGTGTAAACCGAAATAAGACGAAGTTTTGAGGTGGTTTGAGTTTTGTTGCATATAAAAATAATCTTTAAATGTTTTCTTTTTCTTTTTTTTAATCGGGAGTGCTGGGCCCCTGGTCATAGTGGGCCCCTAGGCACTGGCCTAAAGTGCCTTATGGATAATACGGCACTGGCTTTATGGGTCTTGATTTGTAGGACTCTTCTACGTATTTTTTCGCTCTATGCATAATTATTCAGATTTTTTGCTCTTGGCATTAAAATGAAGATTGCTAACTGCGGTTTATGAACGACAGTGAGATAATCCTGTGATTTAAAAATTGTTAAATGACCCGTCTTGAATTTAAGTTATAAAACAAAAATAAAGGTGTATTTAAGAACATATTTCAATATCAGCTCATTTAATCTCCACTGCAGGAGCATGATGACTCTCTAAGTGGGGATACAACATTTTACTCAATATTCTAATCAGTAATTTCTGGAGCCCTTGACATCTGTATTCATGAAGTCGAGGATTACACACAGAAGCAATTGCCTCGCGGAGCCCTGCCCAAGCCCTGCGTCCGGTGCTCTCGTTGTCCGCCGCGCTTCTATTGAGCACTTCCTCTGAGCACTGCATGTCGGAACCTCATTCACACATTATGGTGTTGGTACTTACAGCAATAAATTGGCCATTGAACTCGCCTCCTTCCTTACTACCTATCTAGCTAAACGATAGTCACTGTCAATGGCGACCATCAATAATGGCCGCTCTTCAGTTGGTCGTGATTAATGATACTGATCTAAAGGAATTAGAGCATTGAATTTGATCGAAAATTTACTCGTATTAAAAGCTTGATACAGTTCAGTCCAAAATTATGGTTGGCGACTGCTGGAAGGTCCTTAAGCTACCTATTCTTGGCAAACGTTATCAATTATTTTTATCTGTACTTTAACCGAACCTTTTCGAAGGCCTTGGCCCGGGCTGCGGGTGGCGGAGACAGCCAAGGTCGCAGGTTCAGCTCTCGGTAGCAACCTACATTCGTTTCAGACGCGGCAGTTCATTTACAGATGAGATGAGGTAAAAGTTTGTCTTTAATTTATTGCTTTTCTAATACGTACCTATTTAAAGAAAATCTCTCACTTATTCAAATTGATATGCTCAACATAAGAATAGAATGCAATGCAGTCGATCAGCGATGAGTCTACTTACTATTAGTAAGTGGTGCATTTTCTCGGAACGAGTCGTCAGTTCGTCACAGGACGTCGCGCTCATATTAATGATTCATTAACACGACATTGGTTCAAGTGGCGCCTGATGCTTAGCATGCAATGCCATTATTAACTCTACATGTTGTTTGTTCAACGCATCTTTACGTGCTTAACAAGGCTAATTAATATAATCAACTGTCTGTTTGTCGGACAAATGAATGCTATTTAATTCAGTTTCTTGCCATAAATAAAGATGAAACATTTGTGTTTTCCGTTTTTATACTGAAAATTTATTAATCTACTTAAGGTTGAGCCGAATATGACTTTTAAAACTAATGTTTACTTAGTGAGTGTTTAAGTTAATTCAGCTTCGCATTGTGAACCACAAAAAATGACTCTACCTACATTTTGTATTTAAATAAGTAAAACATCACTTTTGGCTACGATATCATGAATATCAATCGCACAAATGTGAGTCATTTAAGTTAAAAGCAATTTATCGGCCAACAAGGCAGCTGCGGTTGCAGATTCAAATCCTGATGGTGGCTAATATCGGTGTGATGAGCTATGTTCTACGATGTTAATACATTTATGTAGTTAAGTATGTTTAGGTTCGTTATTTTCAGCTCTAGTTTAGGATATTTCTTCTTATTTATTTATTTATTAGTATTAATAAATACACGTCCAGTTTATCCAAACAACGTTGAACAAAATCAACATAATTTCAAACATCATCGATCACCGAGTCATCCCCCGCGCCTGCACTCGTAGCGACAACACAAATATTTACTCGACGCCAAAATAAACTACCGCAACGCCTTAAACGAGCGCGAACGTAACGAATTAGCGTATAAATAATAAAAATATGAACGAAGCGAGTTGCGCGCGCGCTGCAGCAAGGGTTCCGTGGCTAAATT